CGCTCTCTAACACACACACACACACACACACACACACCTACACAACATACACACACACATACACACACTCGCATACAATCACGAGAAGACTTAGTGGTATAAAAAAAAAAAAAAAAACAACACCCACCTTTATAGTACCATCCATTACAGTGATAGCAGCTTCCTCGCTATCATTTAGTCACTTTTTCTCGATTTAACCGACTCTTCTGATTCCTTCTTCAATTCATGCACGGTTGAAATGGCGCACACCATTAGACCTTTTTGCGCGCAGAACATAACCGGATGGCAACCCCCCCCGCCCCCCCCTTCCTTCTCTCGCTCTCTCTCTCTCTCTCTCTTTCTCCCTCTCTCTCTCTCTCTCTCTCCCTCTCTGTGTCTCTTTTCTAAATTGGGAAGTGAAGTCACCCTCACTGGAAGCGAGAAGCTGCCCAAACAGCAACAATTACTGCCCTAAAAATACTTTAAAAGGCGGTTTGCGTTACAAAAAAAAAAAAAATGAAGTGCATACTAACGTAATGAGTATCGGATACGATTGTCACAAAAATAATATGAATGTCGTTTCCGATGATAAAAAAAAAAAACGTAAAAAAAAATTTAAACGCAGACTGTGCAACTGTGCCCTCCTGACATGTTATTACTTTACGTTACGTTGTTGTGTTCGATTGTTTGTTCGTTGTGAATCGTTGTGAATCGATCATACAGGAAGTCCGTGGCTTTGGTGGGTTTTCCACGAATGCTTCCTTTGTATATTCATTTAGCATTTGTCTTCAATACGTGCAAATTTTAAACGTAAGCTTCAAAGTAGCACTCTTGTTTTACGTCGACATTACTTTTATTTTACCTCGGTTAAGAGTCGCTGAGGTGTGTCGAGGGACCAGTACAAACCTAACATAATTAATATAAATAACAAGGATTTCCCCCTTTGTTTTTCATACAAAGAAGTACAAATACTGTACATCAGATGAATCTATATATTTATTGAAACATTTTATCAGTATAGAGATTATAATAAAATATAATTTGAATTAAATATGAAAAACATTTTCTGAACATGACGTGTTTGTGTATTTTTTTTTTCTTATTGTCAAGATTAATCAAGCAGGCAAGAGTGAAACCCCAAGCCAGGGGCCTTTGTTGGGCGCCTATAAAAATCAGGCCTTGTCACTGGGATTGTCTAGAACAGGGATGGGCAACCTAAGGCCTGGGGGCCGGATGCAGCCCATTCAGCTTTTTCCAAATTTTTTCGAAATTATATAATTTATTACCTCCTGGGCAAGTTCGAATCCCGGTTAGGGCGGTTGGTACCTTCCAGTGGACTTACCACCCGCAGGAAGGTTCAGGGGGGTTGGTAAGGTGCAGTGTGATTTGGGTGGATGGATTATACTTCTTCCTTTTTCCTGCAATACCCACATTTCCCCAATAGATGGCGTAAAAAATGATAAAAGCATTTTAGCTTTTAGTCTTTTACATGTCATTTAACTTAGTTCACACCAACGCTCCAGCTATCTGCTCCTGACCCGCCCCCCCTGTTTAATCCTAGGACAACTGTGGGCCACTGAGGTCAAAAGGTTGCCCTCATTGGACATGCGATAGTCTCTTTTCTTCACTAGTTTAGAGTTTAGATGCTAAATTATTGTTATTAATGACTAGTCAAAAGGTTCAAGTCAAGTCAAGTTTTATTTGTACAGTATAGCCCAATTTCACTAAATTTGTCTCATTAGACTTCACGGTTTTAAATGAGGAATGACGTTAAACCTATAAATATCCTCCTGAAATAAAACATTTACCGAGGCGGCGATGTCTATACTGAATTTAAATTACCAATATAGACTAAAGCAGGATAACACATTTAAGTGAAGTGAAGACAGTGACAGGGGAGAGAGAAGCAGGAGACGTACTATTGCAGGAAGAGGAGACCAGGTTATTGTCATAACATTATGCATTCATTTCTTAGGAGAGTGGGGAAAAGAATGCGCTCTGTGCATCATGGGAGTTCCCCAGCAGTCTAGGGCTATAACTAAGGCAGCATTACTAAGGGATAACTCAGTTTTACCCCGAGCCAGCCCTACGAATAGGAGGCCAGGACTGGAGTGATATAGTCTGTCTTTCTGGTTCCTGTTAATACTTGGGATAAGCTGAGGTCTTTCAAACAAGCTCATTAGGACAGCCTGAAAGCAGGGAGTTACAGTGGACTAGTTCAGATGTAACAAACACAAACACGTGAACTCATTTTTCAGCATCTTTTAATGTAATGATATTTCCAATTTTGTGAATATTATGCAGGTAGTGAAAGGGTGACCTGGAAATGTGTCTAAAATGGAGCCTAAAGGACTGATCCCGATCAAAAATTACATCTAGGTGTGGAGTTTAGAAGTAGAAAGTTGCTGGTCATCCAGCTCTTAATGACCAGCAACTAGTTGTGTATCATCTGCATAACAATAAAAGTTGATGTTATGCATAAAGACAAATTAAGTTTGACCAGGTATTGAACCTCGGGGGACACCATAATGTACTATTGTTGAAGTGAACAAAGTGAAATCTTTCAGATGACCATGACTTAAACCATTGAAGTGCAGTACCTTAAATAGCAAATGTTTGCTATAATATCTGTAATATGTTGTGATCAATCGTGTTGAAAGCAGCACTAGGATAGATAGGATAGATCTGAGGCCATGATAAATATTGATTCATTCAGAAAAGTAAAGTGGGTTTTAATGAGAGGAAATATTTCTTTGAACAACTTGGCAGGAATCAGGTTCTGAGTTCTGAGAACTCTATCAAAGATCAAAGGAGTCTAGACAACTAACATGATTTGAACTACTGGAGAATGTTCTATATTGGAAGACACACCTGTATAGTATGACAAATTGGTATCAATGGTTTGATTGGTTGATTCATTTTAACTGACATACGGTTCAATGACATGACATGCATATTTTTAGACCCTTTATTTTCATGCATTGTTCAATACATTTAAATAATTGTGTTCTTTTATGTTTTTGGCTTCTCAAACCCCTAAGTATTATTTTATGTCTGAAGTCTTGGACAATATTTTTTTTCCCAATACAAATATTTTTATAACTGTTTACATAACTGCAACACTTTTGTCCAGCAATTTACATTTCTTCAATGCAAATTGGCGGGTGGCATAACCATAAACAATGGACTGTTATTTTGAAGTGAAGGGACAATAGCCGTAAACAGGACGTTGCATCAGCCAGAGGACTCCGAGTGACCCTTTAGACTCAGCTGAAAGGTTTGTAGATCTTTGTGAAATATCGATAAAAAACAGCATCAAAAAATGTACACAGATCTGTTAAAGTTCACCCATTTTTGGCAGTTCTAGGTATTGATTCATATGTTACACAAAGCAATATGGAACATAGTTTCCTTACGTTTACCTCAAGTAAGAAGTGCAAAGAACTATAAGGCCCTAAACCATGGATGCCAAACATATGGCCCGTGGGTCAAAACCGGCCCACTATGAGGTTGAATGCAGCCCGCTTGTTACATTTTGAAAGTAAATAAAAAAAACACAAACACTTTATGTTCATGATGTCTTGTAACATTTTATTACAATTACAATTATTATATTACTTCTTCGCATTTTTAGCAGAGGGAGCCACATATTTCCAAATGTATTTCAGTCAGAGCCATATATGTTTTTTTTTTTACTCTGAACACAACTATATGTGTGAATTTTCAAGTAAGATCAATAATTTTACAGTGCAATAAGTCTCTGATTATTTATTTATTTTTAATAACGCCGTTACACTGACGCTAGCTAATACATGAAATACTTCTTACCATTACTGTAATGTGACTTCTGGTGCTGCATGGTTGTCATGCGATTGGCTCCAGTGCCGAAAAAAATGATTCAAATGTGTAACGAAGGAATAAGTATATGGTTCCATTTGCCATACAAAACAGTTTATTAACTTGAATACCAGCAGAATTATTAATGTTATTTATTGTGTTGAGAAATGCCATTTAAAATGTATCTGAGGGCCCAATGCAGTCATCAAAAGAGTCACATCTGGCTCACGAGCCATAGGTTCCCAAACCCCTGGTCTGTACTGTTGGCAGGGGTGTCCAGTAAAAAGACTACAAGTTGGTCACAAAGAGGGTGCTGGTACATCATAAGTGAGAACATTTAAAGAAAATCACAAAAAATATAGTTATAAATCTAATCATCATGACTAAATAAATGAGGGATCAGTGTTGGGCCTGTTATTAAAAATATAAAAGTAATTTTAAATACAGATACTAGAAAAGAAAGTTACTATTTAAAGTTCACATAACTTCGACTGTATGTTTAATTTATACAAAAATAAATGACTTTTTTTTTTTGTTTTAAACACTGTGAACTAATACTTGACCCTTTCGATAAGAAAACACTCTAGATTTAGGAATAAAAATAAACGTACGTACTTAGTTAAAGGGCTATAGACTGATTACCTATATTAAAAATTCAACGTAGATATAAACAAAAAGAAAGGAAAACAAACGTACATCTGGCTCAATAACATTTTTGGTTTTGGAGTTTTTGTTTTTTTTTTTTAAATCTGTCTGTTTTAGTGTTGTTGTGGTTGCTGGGTTTTTTTAAATCTGTCGTCATCCAGGTCATTTAATCCCAAAAAAATAGTAACATCGAAAGCAACTTTTTTTTTGTTTTGTTTTGTTTTTTTTTTTTTGCTGCCTATTCTTTCTGACCTCTTTGTCTCTATCACGACTCTGGTCAGTCTCCCACCGTCGCGCACGATTTCACCCGGCTCACTTTTCCAGATGTGTGTGTGTGTGTGTGTGTCTATGTGTGTGGCTGGGGTGTGTTTATTTATACAGAGCCCAGGCCTCCCTCTTATCTGCTGCGGACACTCACGCCGTGATTTTCAGATTTTCTTTGTCCATTTTTTTTTTAATACGGGTCATTTACTCTGCGCAATTGTTCTTTAGGATGAAGATTCAAAGAGTCACTGAAACGAAAGTTATTTTAATCTAAATATTTTCACATTGTAGCTGTCTTAATTCATCTTAATTCGGTTTTTTTTTTAGTCTCGTTATCTTAAAGTTATTTTAATCTAAATATTTTCACATTATAGCTGTCTTAATTCATCTTAATTCGTATTTTTTTTTTGTTGTTTTTTTTTAGTCTCGTTATCTTAATATGATAATCATGTATTGCCATGCAGCTCTGCGCAGTCGCAGCAAGCAGTAAACACGACCCGTATTCTTATCAGTGTCTTCTTACGAAAATTACACATTTCTTTAGAATCATGCAGCTCTGCGCAGTCGCAGCAAGCAAAGTAGTAAACACGACCCGTATTCTTAACAGTGTCTTCTTACTAAAATTACACATTTATTTAGAATTACTTTTTCTTCTATAAAAGCAATAATAATAATAATTGTTTTATACACTGAACATATTGGACATTTTGGCACTTTTTAACTCCCTGCAAAGCTAATTAGTTAGCTAGTTGACGGTTGTGTTGACGGAATTTATCTGTTGTATCTGTTTGATAATTTGACGTTTGATCCTTGTTGGTTGTTTTTTTTATAAAGATAACGTTGCAAATATTCCTGTAATGTGTAAATAAACGATATGATATGATCAACACGGCTTCTACTGCGTTATTTACTTTTGTATCGGTTTTCTTCCGTATATTCGCACGTTTAACGCGCTAAGTAGGGTGACAGTACAGTTATGACGTCACAGGAAATCAATTGTAATAGAAAAAAAATCCAAACGTCTACTACTGGTCAAACATCCAGCTTTCGGACACCAATGAAGAGAACACGTCCTCATGAATATGTAACTCTCCTCGCAGTAGTTTTGTATGTTTGGCATCAAATGTGTGCGCTTTTTATGAATGAATAATGTCGAGTTGCAGGGCAGGGTTGACGGTGGAGTGGGACGTCACTGGGGTTAAAAAACAAAAGCTCGCACCAGAGGTCACGACGCAGAGCGCGGTCACGCGGCCCTCCCACGTTCACCAGTTATAAGGACACTGACTGTGATCGTGTTCGTGTGGAAGTGCGGTCTGGCAGAGAGAAGTGTTGAGTGCAGATGTGCCGGCTTGTTATCTACAAAACAGAGACAAAATAAAAGGTAGACGATCTTTTTTTTTTTTTTTTTTTTTTAAATCAATTATTAATTCCTTTATTGCTTAATTTTAGGTTTTTTTTGTAATAAAGTTAATGTTAATACATGGTAAATGAAAAAGTAAATATTGCCTTTGTATTGACTGTGATTGGCACACGGCATTAACGATGTTGGCTTGATTCATAACCATTTCAATTTTAAATTTTAAATTACAATTTCTGTGTAAGTTTTAGAGATATAACCGGCATAAGATGTCTTAACTTTTGCTCTTTACCGTTAATGTGATATATTGGAAATATATGTAAATGCAGCATAGCAACACATGTTGCAGCAAATACTGTATTCATGCAGAAAACTGTATAAACAACTGTAAAACTGAATTGCCAAGGTTCTTTTAATGTGTACATTTTTGCATCTCGCCCTTTTATTTGTGGTTATAAGGTTACTTCTTATATAGTTTATTCTGAGAATAAGGTCAAGAATGATGTTTGAATATTAGGTTACCATAATTAATATTGTTGTGAGCAACTAGTTTGGGGGTGGGGGGTGTTTGAATATTAGGTTACCATAATTAAAAATTAATATTAAAAACTCAAATTCAACAACACAGTTAGGCCAAAAATCTAGCATGCTATATAGCAGCCCTCTGTAATTTTCTTCTCTCTAATTTGTGTCCATCATTTAATGAGAAGAAAGTGTTACCATTGTGTTACCAAGTGTTACCATCTTCGGCTTTGGGCCTGTGAAAACAGTCATTGTTGGAGTTGTCTGATTTGATTGTGTCAAGCAATAAGGGGCCTCACTAAAATGCCACATCACATGGCTATTTTTTTAACACAGAGATGGAGATTTGCCAAGAAGACTTTGGGACACAGGAAGTGCCTGCAGGCTTTGATTTTGCATCCTATGGTAAGTCAGGAAAAATCACTCTAACTCTCTGAGTCGACCATCGGAAGCTAAACGACCAAATCCCATCGGCCATTTCGTTCGAGGGGATGCGTCATACTCGTGATGGTGTTTCTGCATCATTGCTTTCGTAGCTTAAGACCTTGACAGAAAGGTGACAGGGTTAGTGCTGAGCGATGTTTGGAAGAGCTGAGGTGGACAAAGACACTGAAAAACAGGGTGGTCGAGAGAAAGACAAACTCCACGTTGCGGGGGCCAAGCCTAATCCTTTCCTCCAGACTTCCTCCACAAACAGATTTAAAACCCCGCTGCCACATTCTCTATCCGTCCCTCGCTGCTCCGTCACACACACCCTCTGCTGGCGTTTCCTTCACTCTTCACATATCCCTCCCTCTCCCGTTTCCTCTGTCCCTTATGCAGAAAGAAAAATCCTTGAGCGTCTCCTGCTGAGTCACACAAAACTAGACACCCTTTTGCCTAGAGTAAAACAGCAAAAGCACTACCACGAAACTTGTTATTAAGTTGTCATTTGCACGTCATTTGTTTAACTTGCAGACTTTCCTGGTGAAGACCTGTCTTTTCTGTTAGACAATAAATGGCATAAGCAGCAGCAGCAGCCGCCGCCGCAGCAGCAGCAGCAGCAGCAGCAGCAGTACTCAACAGAGAATAACTTCCTTCAGCTGACCAAAGCTTCTCATTTATACGACAGCAAAGGTATTGGCCCAGAAATAAGTATTTGTATCAACATCATTTATGTTTTTGACATTTAATACGGCACGTTTCTGTTTTTTTTTTTGGTTTTTTTGGCCAGTGTTTAACAGCGACTGTGCCATACTCAGCCTAGACTCGTACAAGGACTTCAACTGGTGGGGTTCATATCCTTGTGGTAAGCATCTGACTCTGACTGTTCTCTTATTATGTCATAAAGAATATTGGAAGATAATATACTAGAATTCAGGGACACCTATACTTATGATTCCGACACAAATACTTACTATTTGTCAGTTTTTCATTGCAGTTTTTCATGCTAGTTTCGAGGATAATTGATTGATTATTTTCTATACTTATGATTCCGACACAAATACTTGCTATTTGTCAGTTTTTCATTGTAGTTGTATAAGCATAATGCTAGTTTTGAGGATAATTGATTGATTATTTTCCGGGACTATAAGTCGCTCAGACGTATAAGTCACACCAGTGCCCTCTAGCGGCTGTCACTGTGAAAATAACAGTTTCAGTGGTAAAGGAGTAGCAGATACTGGTACACAAGCCTAGAGTGCCCTCTAGCGGCGGTCAGTGTGAAAATAACAAACCTGAAATTATATATTTTAATACATGGGTCGCACCTTAGCATAAGTCAAAAAGCCAACCAAAGGATGAAAAAAAAAAAGTGCGACTTATAGTCAAGAAAATACGGTATACGGAAAACAGAAATTCTTCACAAATGATTACAGCGATAAAACGTTCAATTAAAATAATGCTTTCTATTTGTTCTACAATTAATACAAAAGAATACTGAAAACATATTAAAATAAGACAAATATAAACATTGTTGCTTGATACTAACTCATGTAATATCATCATTGTTATCATGTTACATGTCTGGGGTTTTTTTTGACCAACATTGTTTTTTTCAGATTCTTCAGTTGGGAGCCAAACGTCTGGGTACGAGGAGTCACCACCGACACCTCAGAATCTAGCTCCCGGGAGTGGAATATTCAGTCCAGACATGGATGGTACCCACAGCCCTTTTTTAAATGTGAAGGCATTCAACACAACTCAAAGTAAGATATTTTTACTTGTTTGCGAGAGAAAAAAATTGTAAACATCCCTTATCATTGTGTTACTAATGAATGAATTTTGCTTTTGTTCTAGTTTCCAACGATCAGAGCTACTATGATTCTGATGGACTGGGGTCCATGTCGTCCTTTTATTCTGAGTATACATCTCCATGCTTTGCTCCCCTACCGCACCAGCCGTCATCCTCCTGCCCCTCAACCTGCAGTCCTCAATCTTCAAAGCAGTACTGCCCTCGTGTGGCCAAACGCAAAAACTCATACCCCCAGAGATCAGACAAGGCGGGTCAGGTGGCAGGGATTTCAGCTTATCCAGGTGAGCTAATATTTTCAGCTGCATCTGCATCAGTGCATCTATGTGGTTGCCCTTTTTTTTTTAAATACATGAATATTGTATTTGTTTGTGAATAAGGTTCTGGTCCAATACAGTTGTGGCAGTTCCTCTTGGAACTACTTCTGGACTCTACCTGCAATAACTTTATATCCTGGACAGGCGACGGCTGGGAGTTTAAGATGTCCGACCCGACGGAGGTTAGTGAGCACAGAGTGGTAGCAAAGACTACACACACACCCTCATAAGAAAGAAAGAAAGAAAGAAAGAAAGAAAGAGAGGAAGAAAGAAAGAAAGAAAGAAAGAAAGAGAGGAAGAAAGAAAGAAAGAAAGAAAGAAAGGAAGGAAAGAAAGAAAGAAAGAACACATGTGTATATACTATTATTAGTAGTATATACACATATATGTATATATGTATATATATATATAAAAGAAAGAAAGAAAGAAGGAAAGAAAGAAAGAAAGAACACGTGTATATACTATTAGTAGTAGTATATACACATATATGTATGTATGTATATATATATATATACAGTATATATACTGTATGTATCAAAGGTGGGACCAAGTCGTTGCTTTGCAAGTCACAAGTAAGTCTCAAGTCTTTGCACTCAAGTCCGAGTCAAGTCTCAAGTCAAGACAGGCAAAGTCCGAGTCAAGTCCAAGTCAAGACCGAAAAGTGTCAAGTCAAGTCCCAAGTCCTTGTCCCAAGTCCCAAGTTCTGTTTCGAGTCCTTTTAAATAACATAATAATATATTTACACAGATTACTTTGGGTTTTGGAGAAAGTATCAAGTCTTGTCGAGTCAAAGGGCTCAAGTCCAAGTGAAGTCACGAGTCGTTGACGTTAAAGTCCAAGTCGAGTTGCAAGTCTCTTTACATTTTGTCAAGTCGAGTCTAAAGTCACCAAATTGATGACTCGAGTCTGACTCGAGTCCAAGTCATGCGACTCGAGTCCACATGGTATGTATGTATATATAGTTCATCTCTAAATGGTTCTTGTTGATCTTTCAGGTGGCAAAGCGCTGGGGACAGTGCAAAAACAAACCCAAGATGAATTATGAGAAGTTGAGTCGTGGTCTGCGCTACTACTACCACAAGAACATAATCCACAAGACGGCAGGCAAGCGCTACGTCTACCGCTTTGTCTGTGACATGCAAAGCATGCTGGGGAAGACAGCACAGGAGGTCCTCAGTAGCTTGAACATTTTGCCCAGGGATATGGAATTATGGCAGTCCCCTGTTTTGCCATCAGAACACGGCAGTAAAGCCCAGACATTTCAATAGAAATGGTTTATTTTGCAAAATAAAATGTACATTTTATATAAACGTTGTAAATTACAACAGAGTACTGATGCTATAAAGGCGGGAATTCAACGAGGCATCAAACAAATATTATTTTCAAACATCTTATAGAAATGTTTTTAATGTTCAAACTGGTGGTGCTTTGGCCCAGAGGCAATGTCTCTGTCATTGGTGTAGAACCCCCAGGGTTCACCTCCTGGGTAAGATCGAATCCCGGTTAGGGCGGTTGGTGCCTTCCGGTGGACTCACCCCCCGCAGGAAGGTTCACAAGGGGCTTGTGTAGTGCAATGTGATTTTGGGTGGCACTCGTGGAGACTGCTGCCCCTGCAACCCGGTAACAGATAAGCGGACGAAGATGGATCGATTTTTAAACATTCAATAGTTCCTTTGTTTACATGTAGTTTATGTTTCTTGGTTGCTGTATGGGCTTTGTTTTTTTTGTTTGTTTGTTTTTTGTTTTGGTAGCCTGCTATAAGAGAATATGACACTTACATAGTACCAATATCAGGGAATCACAAAGTGAGGTGCAGGGTGCGCAAGCTGCCACTAGGAGGTGCGCAAGATAAAAAACAACTGATGGCAGGATTTTTTTTCCGTGTAAATAAACATTGGCCTCCAAAATTTAAAACCAAAAGCTGACATTTTCATTGCTATGGATATGTGTGTTATATGTGTGGGTTTTTGTAGATGTGGAAAATTGGATTCCGTCAACCCGGTTGGGCCAAAAAAAGTTTGGGAACCGCTGAGTTATGATCAAGCTTGGTCACACAGATGCACTTAGATTGTCAGGTGGAAAAACGTCACTCTCTAAAATAACCAAATTTTTTCAATTTTAAACAAAAACATAAAACTATATATTACACTGGCCATGCCTCTGTTGAGTGGACATTGCGTGATAGATTGCTGATATGGTCCGTCTAGAGCCTGGCCTAGATAGATAGAAAGATAGAACTTTATTTATCCCTTTGGAGTTTCCTTTGGGAAATTAAGGCTCCAACAGCAGTACAGCGCCAAACACCACAACAGTAAGAACACACAGATAAGTAAAATACAATAAATACAACAATATACAAAATGCAGGATGTCTTTTCAGATGGTTGGCACTCTCCCTAGTTTAAGAAGGCCAACATTTTTGGACTATGATAAGTAAAATACAATAAATACAACAATATACAAAATGCAGGATGTCTTTTCAGATGGTTGGCACTCTCCCTAGTTTAAGAAGGCCAACATTTTTGGACTATCCTCACATACTTCTCTGCCACACCTGACTTCCTCATACAGTTCCACTTTTCCTCGCTGCACCATCTTTCATTAGATCAACTCAGACACAGTGGAGCTCCATCCAACCCTCACTTTCAAAGCAAAAATGGACTGAAACAAGGGTGGTGCTCACTAACCTGTACCTCTTGGTCTCCTCCAACTCTTTCCAATATATTTATGGTCTGGATCAGCGGTGCCCACACTTTATGCCTTGGGAGCTACTATTTAAACGAACAGGTTAAAGTGATCTACCTACATTGGAAACATTCAAATATATTTACTCATATAAACTGAACATACTTTATGTAGACATTTCTGTTGGGGTACTGCCTAAATCAGGCATGGGAAAACTAAGGCCCGGGGGCCGGATGCAGCCCATTCAGCTTTGTAATTCGGCCCGCCAAACTCGTCCAAATTAGATCATTTGTTTACCATAGAGAATGATAAAAGCATTTTAGCCTTTATGCGTGACTTTTATATGTCATTTAGCTTAGTTCACACAAACGCTCCATCTATCTGCTCCTGACCTGGCCCCCCCCCTGTCAAATTTTAGAACCAATTGTGGCCCTCAAGTCAAAAAGTTTGCCCACGCCTGGACTGAATCCATGTAATTGTATGGCATGATATAACTTTGATATACATTGTCCATTTACTTTGATATTCCCAGAAGTTTTTCCGATTTAAAATCATCAACATGGAGAATTATTGATCATCTCTGCACCTTCTTTGAATGGTGATTTTCCTGATAGGTTGAGCCATTGCAATATGACTAATTACGCAATATGACAATATATCTAATCCAAGTTTATGTGATGCTGTTTCTTTGACATCCAGTTCATTCAGTTGTCAAACTCAAGCCTGGGGGCCAAATCTGGCCCGCAGTTTAATTAGAGACCTACGAGATCATATCAAATGTGTACCAGAGTTGACCCACTAGTATATAGACCCTACATACTGGCAGGATTCTGTTTTATTTTTTTATTGTTGGTCAGTGAAAAAAAAAAGATTTACAATAAAAAGGAACTCAAAAGGCTACAGATAAAGAGCAATAAGAAACTAATACTACTAATGTATGTCTTCTTTCAAATTTAATTTCTCATGTCTTCATAATATTAAGCTTTGGTTGTTCCAGATTCAGTGTTTACTGAAAACTAAAGTTTGTTTCCATATGAAAATATTCTACATCACATATCTGGAGAGAAGGGAGAACATGCAAAATTCCAGTCAATTTTTCAAAAAAATATTAAGTTTGGCCCACAACTTAATCCCAGTTTTTAATTTTGGCCCACTGTGAATTTAAGTTTGACACCCCTGAGTTACATCAATACTTACGGTCAGTTCAGTGGGTTGTACTATGCATGGAAAACACCCACTCACACATGGGGTAAATAGTGGGTTGTACTATGCATGGAAAACACATGGGGTAAACGAGGGAATTTCTCACATAAAGACCAAGACAGAGCAAGGGTGACCCTGATCACCTGGCAATGAGCTACCTGATAATTTTTTCCAATTTTGACATTTATTTTTCTCAAGTTAAAGTGCAATAATCTGTGTGCATAATGAGACTTGTGCCAAGATATTTATGTAAACAGGACAGGAAAAGTATTGTTTGAAGAAATGTAGTTTAATCATGTCGTAACCAATGAAGAAATAAACAGCAGGGTTAAGGCTGAGGAGAGAGAGAGAGAGAGAGAGAGCTTGCAACGAAATAGTTTTCAGGTGTAAAACTGTTGCAAGCTGGTGAATAGGTTATAACAGAAATACAAAATTGTACTGAACATGTTAAGATAAAGTCAACTCTTTTTTTTTTTGGCATTTTAAATTATTAAAACTAGATTCAACGTAACAACCTGCACGGATACATTGTTATATATGGTTATTTTAAGTAAACCCTGTGATCCAATATGAAAGAAAAACCAGTGACGGTTTGAGAATTATCTTTAATTTTCTAATCATTTCTCTCTCTTTTCATGGCAACTGAGTGTGAGCGTGTATCTTCTTGATCTCCCGCTCTTTGTAGCAGCCTGTCAATGCCTAGCATTCCCCCTTGAGCGTTGATACCAGGTCTCCACTTTCCTTGAGCTCCTTGACTATGTCTAAACCTCCAATCAGTTCTCCTTTCACATAAAGCTGGGGGTAGGTCGGCCAGTTGGAGTAAATCTTTAGACCCTGACGCACCTCTTCATCCTGCAAAATATCAAAGGTGTCATAGTCCACTCCAGTGCTGTTCAAAATCTCTAGGATCTGCCTGCTGAAACCACATCTGGCAGTCTCTTTGTTGCCCTTCATAAAGAGCACGACTGGACTCTTGTTGATGACGATCTTTAGCCGATGCTCCAAGGTGACAGCCGTGGGACAAGTGTTTTCCAGCTCTCCAGACTCAGCCAACTCTTTCACTATGTCTAACCCTCCCACTAGCTCTCCATTCACATAAAGCTGGGGGTAGGTGGGCCAGTTGGAGTAGGTTTTTAGCCCCTGTCGGACTTCCTCGTCGGACAATATGTCGAAAGTGCTGAACTGGATGTTATGCTGCTTAAGCAGGGCCACTATCTGGCGGCTAAAACCGCAACGCGGCTCCTGGGAGGTGCCCTTCATAAACAGCATGCATGGCGCCGTGTTGATCAGCTTCTTTAGCCGTTGGTTTAGATCAGTGCCGCTGTTTTCATCGGCTCCAGTTTGTCCTCCGCTTACTGCCAAACGTTGCACCTTCTTAGTAAGCTCTAAAGCATGGGCACCATCCAGGCTGTCTATCTTCTCCCCCGCCTTAAAAAACAGGAAAGTGGGCACAGAGGAAACGCCGTACTTCTCAGACACCTCTGGCACCGCTTCCGCCTCGAGCTTCACAAAAGTGACGTGTGTATGCTCTTTGGCTAGCTCGGCCATTACCTCGTTCATTTGGACACACTGAGGAGCCCACGCCGCCTGGAAGTGTAACACTGTAAGACATTTCCCTGCTTTGCCAAATAACTCTTCGAGCTGCTGCTGGGAAGTAACCTCCACGAGATTCGCCATTTTGTTTCACCACGGAACACAAGATCCTGCGTCGACGAACGTCACATCCGTTTTACACTGGAGCTTCTGGCAGGTTTCTGAGCAGCTTTGTACGAGAAAGTGAGAGATTGAGATTTAAACCTTCATGATAGCCGGCCGCATTCATCGGATTACTTGATAAACTAACTCGACTTTTAAGGTAGGCTAAGCACTGACAAAAGGTGGTTGCAATCACTCCTCATACTTCAGTGTAAACATTAAATTAGCATTAGCTTAGCGTCGTTCATCTAAGCTAAGCTAGCTCCCAACCATGGAGCACACACACATTAATATTAGCAGACATAACTTGGGATTCAATTTCACACAGTTAAATAATATTCGGTGCAGCCACCGTCAGTTGCCAACGAGCAAGGATAAAGCTAATCGATCGGTAGATTGTTTGAATTGTCAAACGTGTTTCGGAATTTGCTAAAGTTTTGGTGAATTGATTAAACAACATTAACGAGGCGAGTTACTGTTTATACACCTCATAACATTGTTACACGAGCCTAAATCAAGAACGAGCGATAGATGTTGGGTGTTTCGGAATTTGCTAAAGTTTTGGTTAATTGATTAAACAACATTAACGAGGGGAGTTAATGTTTATACACCTCATAACATTGTTACGCGAGCCTAAATCAAGAACGAGCGACAGATGAATGTTTTTTTTTCTCCCCACATATGTGATAATATATTAAATTATGGGGTTATTTTTTCCCGTTGTTTACGTAGACTAGGGGTGCCCAATAAGAAGATCGGGGTCTATCAGTAGATCTCAAAGGGAATACTGGTAGATCCTGAGCAATTACATTAAAAAATATATAGATGTAATTATATTTTAAGATGTCATTTAATAAGTAGCTACCAAGACAAAAACGTGTGGGCACCCCTGACGTAGACCATAATCCACAGGGTAACACATGATCTTTTGTACTTGGGAGAGACCAACCGTGACAGGAACTTTTGCGTGCAGTGCTGTACCTGATTAATGACTTATTACCAATGAATTGTGTACCATTGCAGGTCATCTAAAGGTCTCTCTGACAACTCTTTTATAAGGACCACCATGGAGGAGCCAACAGCAGACATAGAAGTGACAGTCAAAACATTAGACTCACAGAGCAGAACCTTTACTGTTGGAGCTCAGGTAATCTTTTTAATGTTTACAGCATCATTTTAAGACTTGTATTGTCATTCCAAATTTCTTGTCAATGTTTTTTTTTTTGTCTTTTTTTTGTAGTTGACCGTAAAGATGTTTAAGGAGCACATTGCACCTTCTGTGGGTATCCCCGTAGACAAACAAAGACTGATTTACCAAGGCAGAGTGCTTCAGGATGAAAAGACTCTTGTGGACTATAGTGAGTTATTAATGTGTTACAATGTGATTTTAAAAACGACGTAAATAGCACACCATCTAACTGTAGTCCTCTTTCATTCAAAGATGTGGGTGGCAAGGTGATTCATCTCGTGGAGCGGGCACCGCCTCCCACCTCTCAACCTGGTATGGGCTCAGGTGGTGCTTCCTCCGACAGTGGCTCTTCCTCCTCCTCACCAGGAACATCACAGGTTCCACCGCATGATCGCAATGCTAACAGCTATGTCATGCTTGGTACCTTCAACCTACCTGTCAACATCATGGACCCACAGCAAATACAGGTAGGTCTGGATTGTTAATGGGCTCATTTTCTTATAGACAATGTAAGCGATACCTTTGATTTAATGGGCTCATTTTCTTATAGACAATATAAGTGATACCTTCGATCCAAAGTGCGTCATTTTTTTTTTTTTTAGATGACAGTCCATCAGATGGTGGGAGAGAATCCCAGAAATACCAGACTCCCAACAAGCACTGGGGTAAGATACCGTACCCTTTAATGAACATGGACAGACAGAGCCCTCTGTAAAATTCTGTTTGTATGATCTCTTTATTTCTTTCTCCCATTATTTATAACATTTAGTATATTAACCTAAGTTGGCCATTGATATTTGTTCGAGTGTTCTTTGCGCAGTACTGAACTCAACGGAGGCCTTTTGATTTCTCTGATGCCAGTCCAATCCAAAACAACTCTATTTGGGACCCGAAACTGAAATTTCATTATGATGCAGGCTGCATAAATACAAACTTAACTTCAGGGACAGGTGGCAGTTCAGCATCAAGGCAGTTGTTTTTCGGTATTGTGGACCTAACGTACACCAATTTAAATTCTTTGTTTGGCTGTTTGCTTTAAGGGTCACCACAGCAGTCTCTAAACCATACATCATCAGTGATTTTCCCACAGGATTTTGTTTTTGATGTATGGCAGGATTGGTCAGATGCAGCCAAAAAGCTCAATGCAACGTGACCGTTGCTACTTTTGACATTAAAATTCGAATGAATTTTGTTTGTGGAAAATGCCATTTCTCCAGTTAAACCACTTACGTAAAAGAAGTCGCTAACCCTTTTGCTGAAATCACCTCAGTGAACAGTGCAAAACGTGGAGATGAACTACTGCTAGCTGCATGCAAAAAAACAACGTTCTGGACATAGTGTAGATGTCTGTAAACAGCGGGGGTGTCTACTGATTCCATTCATCTGTGAATTTCTTGTCTTCTTAACGTTTCAGAGCGATGGTTCTGTGAATGTGCACATTGATATGAACCAAACAGTGCAGAGTGAGCCGAGGCTGAGGCTCGTACTTGCGGAGAACTTGCTGAGGGATCTCAGTAATGTCATCCAAAGAATAGAGGTAATATGTTGTTTTGAATGTCTGTGCAGTGACAAGAGTCACTTCTGTAACAAATAAACCTTCCGTCGTGTGTCTCTTTCAGGCACGACCAGCAAACTCATCCACTCAACCTGCGACACCTTCCAATGCTACTGCGCCTGCCTGCGCTGCACCTCCGCCTCCCTCATCTTCTTCTACAACCTCCACTCCTTCTCCCTCCTCCCAGCCCATGGATACATCTCCCCCTTCAACAAGTCCACCACCTCCACAAGCCAACACAGCGCAGTCTGATGGACCACGTCCTGGGCCTAAGTGAGACACCCTTTTGTGTGAATTTACACATGGTCAAAAGTCTATTAACTCCACTATTATTATCACCGTTGACTTGTTAAGCGTTGGCTAACGGAATAGTTTTGTTTTTTTGTACAGAATGGGTGCGATGCAATAGACAATTCTTACAATGCCAATGACATGTCATTTTGCTACGTAGTCATCCCAGTCCGATGGAGCTGGCGGAGATGTTGTCTGAACTTCAGAGGGTCGAGGAGAGACTTCAGCCCTTCATCCAACGAGCTCACACTGTACTAGAGACGGCCGCTACCGCGGAATACAACAACAACGCAGTTAGTTGAATTGTTACTTGTCCGTTTTTTTTTTTTTGGACATAATTACTAATACATTGTTTTCTTTCTATATTGCAGTTCTCGTTTTGCTCCCTCGCTCCCATTTTTTTAATTCCAATCTCGCGAGAGTTTCATGCATATAATTGTGTGCGAAAGGGTAATACAGTCGAGGGACGGTTTTATATATAT